AAACAGCATTAAATGAGTGAAAAACTTCCTCGTGGTGTTACACGCTGAAGGAAGGTTCATCCAGGTGCACTGAAACACAGTTCAGTGTTACTGACGCTTCCATTACAATAACTGGCCGGCGTTGCTTTTGTGAGCGATTATTTTGCCGGTCGCCCGTTCTGCCTGTTGGTCGCGTTCTCATCAGTGTCGTTTTTCCTTTTGTTAATTTTTGCTTCCTCAGGTTTGGTCAGAAACAATAATTCAGTAACACATTTGATGATTAAATGGTGATTAAATGGCTTTATTCCATTGAAAATGTGAAAGTCAGGTGTAGTTCCCTGTACTCCAGCTGAGACCAACCTGAACCCCGTTCAGAGTCCGACAGCCTCCTCCAGAGTAATTCAAGGTGGATGTTTCTCACCCAGCATTGACAGCTCTGGGGTGGAGCTGGATCCGGTCCCAACCGTAGCAGACGCCCGCTGGCTGTAAGGACGAGGACTCCCTTACTGTTAGTTATATTATAATTTTATAGCACTTTCAAGCACACCTTTCACTTAATTAAGGGCACTTTATCACTTTAACCATGGATTTGCACATAAGAAGTTTAATTATTTATTGAATATTTATTGGGAATTTTAAAAGCAGTTGGTAGCCTTGTTTCAGATCCTGCACAGCTGCTCCTCATCAAGGAACGTGGTGGTGTCTGTGAAAAGGACGGTGACTGAGAGAAAATAAGCTTTACCAGTAAGAAGTAATGCAAACGTGTGTGAAAAATGTAGAATTAAAGGTGATGCAAAGAAGTGACTGTAAGATGTGAGGACTCACCTTTCTTTCCTGTGTTGTCTCCAAGGTCCAGACACCATTTAAAGGTTCTGGGAGAGACCGTGGGTTAAGGGAGTGTGGGCAGTCTTTGTGCTTGGATGTTTGGGTTTTTATAATAAGGGCTTTGGTATAAGATTAAAGTCAAATATCTGTTAATATGAAAGTGTGAAATATATATATTTATTTATTCTAATTGATATATTGTGTAATGTGGTGGAAGGTTGGGATTTGAGAATTTACCTGTGAGTGGAATAATGGTTTAGTCTGTGACAGCTGGAAGTACTTAAGGCTGCCAGTTGTCAGTAGATGAAGTGTTTGTAAGGAGAGCTGTATGACAAACAAATACTACTTGTCCCCCTGCACTTGCCTTGATCCATCTCACTGTGATTCCAGCTGCTAAGGGCCGCCCTGTTACACCAACCATGGTCATCGTGGGTACCGTCCAAATGTCGTGTCTTCGATGTCTTGGCTACAACATGTTTGTCCTGTCCTACCCACCAGGCTAGGATCATTCACGTGATAGGGGGGGTCAGCATATTGCAGCCAACCGAGTTCTGTTTTCTAACTATTGGTGGAAGTTTGGTACGCTGTAACTTTAAGCCTCTTAACACTGGTGTATGTATAAGGGAAGAGTAACTGTTTGTCTAAACACAACAGTAGCAAAGTGCCAAAAGTCAATTTAAATGGTGTTTCTGGCACTTTGCTTCTGGCCATTTGTTCCCGTTTGTTTAAATGTGGAAGACAAGTTTGGCAGGTTTAAGATGATGTTTTTGCACCAACATGGTCAAAGAGCTGAAACAAACGAGCAAACAAAACCAAACAAACCTGGCACTGTGTGCTCCCCGTCCTTTATACAAACACAAAGCAGTTTGACTGCACGTGAAGCGGTTTTACGTTCGCCTTTATCCAAACCTTAAATGTTCAAATGGACTTGTTCTTACACAGCTTTGTCTCCTCCAGCTGAGCACTTTATACAGCTCTACATGTTTTAATATAAATATAATCCAGGAAACGTGGAATAACACTTTGATGTTGTCTCCAGTAAGTGAACATTTTAGCAGCAGCTTAGCCCTCAAACGTTGCACACCAATGACTGCACACATGTTTAAGCTTAGTTACTAGTTTGCACTTGAACATGTATGCATTTGTAAAACGTTTGAGATCCCTCCCCTTACCATCAACGGGCTTCTACTGATCCTTTATATTTCAAAGGTCATGTTATATGTTCATGTTAAATTAAAACGGCATCGTGTCATATTTATGTTTATCGATCATATTGTGAATTTTAGGGTGTTTGAGAGTAAAAAGGGAAAAATATGAGTACTCATATTTGCTCAGGAAATCACTTTGGTCCCATAGAAATGAATGTAAAACAACAAACGTGTGATGCTAGTTTGCAACAGACGCTGTTTACAGACATTTTGAAATCAGGTGCTCTACAACCCGGCGGGTCGGTGTTCCCTTTAATATAATTCTTATATTTGAACTATACAATAGGAAATGCTATAATGTTAATAAACCCCTAAAACTCATATTTTGTCAAATCTTTCAGGAGGTAAATTTCCAGATTGGCCTCTGCAGAGCCTCAGACCTCATTATCGAAGCGCTCGTCTTGACAGAGAACAGAGCGAAACCCCTCCTGAGGTGGTGTTAGAATATCCTTTTAAAAATAACTGTTTCTGAACCGTTTCATCTACAACGAACTAGAAAGGAGCTCGCCACAGAGCGCTGGCTGTGTCGGATAACAAAGACGGTCATATTGCTTTTCATGCTCGTTCGAATTGTGCAGATTCTGTCAGTTCGTACGTGATGTTCAGTGTTGTTTGAAATCATTGTGTGTCGTCTCTCAGCCGCTAAGATGATGGTTTACCTGGAGCCTTCTTCTGATAAGATGGCGTGTGAGATAGCTACAGCGCTGGACGAGTCGCTGGCTGGACGAAGCATTCAGGTTTGTGGTGCTGTCCACAGTGACGTCACACAGCAGCTTTGTGTCCACTGTAGTTGACTTTGTGTGTGTTGTGCTGCAGATCTGTGCCGAGGTCCTGGAGGCTTTGCGTGACGGCCAGCTAGGTGAGGGTCAGCAGAAGGCAGCTGAGGCCTATCGAGCTGCCTGCCATAAGATCTACCCCTACAGCCTGGCCTTCATGCCGCCTGGTTACCAGGACAACAGCACCGTAATCAGCTCTAATGGCGACCTGTCGGCAGGAGAGCTCGATGACATTGCGAATGAAATGTGAGACGTGATGAGGAGGAGAAGCGAGCATGTTGCCACACGCCGTAGCCCCTCCCAACAACAAACAAACTCCCTGACATTGCACTGAGCTGGATGGACCGAGTGCCACAGGAGACACAGAGACCTTTTTTTAACAAAAATCGTACTGTTGTTGAGTACATGTAAAACAGAAAAAACACGAATACGTTTCGGGAGGCTTGAAAGGATTGTGGGAGACGTGGACCTCCTGGGTAAATGGCTTCTGTAAACACAGTCTAGGCTTTTATAACTCCTGTGTTTTCATGCCATCTTCTTCTTGTTGGTGCAGCTGCTTCTCAGATTTTTAAAAGTAATTTATATATTACAAACTGATGGATTAATAAAACAATGTTTGCAAAACTAAACAGTACTCGTGATGGCGTTAATGATGTTTGTGTGCTCAGGTAAGTGACATCACATGCAGCCTAGTGCCATGACTGTTTGTGTTGGCTGCCTCAACAAAACCTCAAACCCCAATCAGAGGTCATGGCTATGGATGCCCATTTCCACCACACAAAAAATAAAAAATTCTCCATAACTCGAAATTTCGAGTCAGCTCTGTTGGGTCTGCGCTTCACAGGCCCCGCTGGTTTAGACTTATTCCCGTTAACGAAGCAAGACGAACAGCTCGACCGGTTTTTCACATGCTAGCAAGGCAAGGACCTCAGAGCAGCCTTCTGCCCTCGGTGTCAGACCCAAGAAGCAGCTTCCCCTGCAGCCTCTTATTTCTGTGACACACAGGCTGGATCCCAATTCAGGGTCTGCAGCCTCAGCGGTCCTCAAGGGCCGCGTACTCAAAGACCGCTAAGGCCGGAAGTGCGAGGCTTGTAGGTTTGTGAAATGGGACGGTCTAGCCTCCACGCGCTGCTCAGGTTGCCTAGCAACCACGATACTAACAGCTGGAAACTTTTCATACAGCTTTGTTTGACAGAAATGAAGGAGAACATATTTTGTACATTTGTTTCTACATGAGCTTTGTGTGATTTGATGAGTATCTGAGGCTGAGACCACAGGACTGTAAAACATGATTGTTGGGCTTCATTTCTGTGCTGAACAGTCATTTAAGATCAGTTAGTAAATAACAAATAGCTGATGTTGTTCATGAGACTAAAGTCAGTGTAAATATAATATGGCCAATATTATAGTTATTATATTAATCATTATTAGTTATTACAGCAGTGAGTTTGAACATTGTGTCAAACACTGAGCTTCAGTAAAGATTTATGTTGCAGTTATTTTCCTACCACCTTAAATCTTCACTCAAAGACAAGTATCTGTGACAGTGTATCTATAGATGCATTACATATAAGAGACAAATATTGTTCGTTTAATATGCTGGCATTACTAAATTTGGCTCAATGCTTACATACATGTGTAAAAAGCAAATGTACGAGCTGTGGTAACTGTGTCTGATAGAATGAAGAGTAGACTGATATATGAAATATTCCTTTATTGGGTGAGAAAATCAGACCATGTCATAACTGCTGTAAGTCACACAGAATAGATATCAGAGCCTTAAACAGGCTGACGTCTGCTAAATGGGTCAAACTGGGCAGAAAGTCTACAAACACATAACATCCTTATAGAATATGATGTAACACTATAGATCAACTTAGCTCAGAATATATAAAGCATATAAACAGTTACAGCAATATGATGCAACAAACACAGCAGCTACTGATCCAAAATACTCAAAGCTTCATAGAACTGAAACATTTATTTGTTTATTAATAACTCATGAAAGAATAAAGTTACGTTGAAACCAAGCACACCATTGTTGTTCTTGTGACATTACCAATAAGTGTGATGTGTCACATGGCCCTCTCCCTATTGAAAAAACTAAAGTTGTATCCAAGATGGCCGACTTCTAAATGGCCACCATGGTCACCGCCCATCTTGAGGAGTTTGCCCCTCACATATACTAATGTGCCACAAACAGGATTTTAATACCACCAACCATTCCCATGTTGTTACGCTGTATCCATATGAATGACCCACCCTGTACAAAGTCCTTATTTAATGTGTGCAAGGTGACGAGAGGAAATGGGGCAAACGTGAGAATGAAGAAAAGGGCGAATGCATTACAACAGAATGAGAATGAGGACACCCCTCTAACCCTACGTTATGGAAAAGGTGAGTGTTGTTCATGATGTGCTCCTTTTGTAAAACCGTATTTTCACCTTTGAAATGTGTGTTTTTGACATTGATGGTGCATCTGCTTTTCTTTGTAGCACCTTTTATGGTTCACCTCCCTTCCAGGCTGCTATTTGATTCAAATGGGTTGGTGTGTTTTTTGATTTGTATTGTATGTTTTCCCTGCGCACTTACTACAAGAAGGAAGGCATTTCCCCCAACTTACAGAGTGCCTCAGTACTGTCCAGCAAAAACAGATAACATCCAGATAACATGAGTGTTGTTCTTTATACTTGACCCACTACATGCCAAACTCAAGAGTAACTGTCCAGTCTGTCCAGAAAAACCACAGTTTTGCTCATTACACATAAATAACATTGTTCATTTGAGCATGTGACTGAATAGTGTTTACTGTATGTTTGACTGGCTGCATGCTGAATTTCCACTTGTAGTTAAGGACTTTCAACTCTGAATACAAACAACTGTGTTGCTGTTTAACTAGTCGTCAAAGCAAAGTCCACGTCTGTGGAGTGAGCAGAGCACCGTCACTGCACGTCTGTGAGTACTCCTTTATTCTGCAGCTAAACAGACATGCACCGTACTGAATGTAGCTTTACGAGCAAAACGGCTGCAGCGATGGAGAGATGTTATTATGGAGTTTGAACAGCTTCATGAGATGTGCAGCAGCTGTATCTTGGTGCAGCATTTCCAGCTGGGATTACTGTGCTGTAGGCTGCACAGTAATCCAACGTGTCTGTTTTTGAAATGAAATGATTATTTTTCTCAGAACTGCATAGTGTGTAAAAATATTGTGTTATTATTTCATCAACAAAAATGAAGCCAAAATCAAATAACTGAGAAACTTGTTATGGTGCTGGGTCCTTTACCCTCTTCTACCATTAACCTTTACTCTTGTATTTGTGTTTATTATTGTATGTTTCTGCTTAATTAGTTCTTTCTTCTGGTCATTTTGAGTGTTTTATTTTAGCTTTTCCCCTCACGCTTTTATGCTTGGTTTTAATTCTGTCTCCTTATATAACTAATTATTGCTAATTGTTTGAGTTAAGTCCCAGAGGCTCAGTCTTCCTGTCCTACTGTCTTCTGTGTGTTGTTAATTCTCTGTTTCCGTTGCTCTTTTTGTTACTTCCTGATTTATTTTGGTAGCTTCTGTCTCATTTGTCTTCTTGGATTAATTCCAGCAGCATCTCATTATTCTGGTTTCCCTCATGTGTACATTTACAGCCTCAGTCCTCCCTTTCTTCTCATGTTGTAAAGTTATTTTGTTTGTATCTTTTCTGTCAGTCAAAAAATTTCATTTGTTGTTCTCTTTTCACAGACTCAGAGTTTCGGGAACTTTGCATTCAGCCAAAACAAAGGTTTGTGTTTAGTTTACAACTGTCTGCTGGTGATGGTCTTATCTCATCTCATCTCATCTCATCTCATCTCATCTCATCTCATCTCATCTCATCTCATCTCATCTCATCTCATCTCATCTCATCTCATCTCATCTCATCTCATCTCATCTCATCTCATCTCTTCTCTTCTCTTCTCATCTTTAAATAAAATCCAAGTGAATAATGAACATGATGAACAGCTGCAGAGCTACAAGCTGAAATGTTGACAAACCCTGTTTGGTCTTTTTCTGGTCGTACTGCCGTGGACTTTGATAGCATGTTAAACGAGTCTCAGATGTAACTCTTTTTGATGTTATAGAGGTTGTCACACTTAACGATAATTCATTCATCAACTGGATTTGATAAGGACCTGGCTGCTACTTTCATTACTTTTCATCAAACGTTTTTTGAATTCTTCAACTGACCGTGCAGCAAAGATCCACCTGGTGCTCCTGCCCCACACAAATGTGTGACTGTGACTGTGCTGCTGTCCAAGCAGTCAAAGGTGGAGCTGTTGCTGAGGAAGGAGAGTCTACAGAGCCTGATGAACCAAGAGATAAAGCACAAACATGATATGGTCTCAACAAATTAACGTGACAAACGTTTCTTCCTGCGGTCTGGAGAAATATGAGATCATTCTGTTCTGACGTTTGCTGTTTCACAGTATTTGGCCCAGAGACTCATACAGTGTTCCTACAACTGGCAAAACAAAGCCAGGACCTGGTCACCATCATTAAACTGCTGCTTCATTGAAATATTTCATCCTGACCTGAAACCTTTCCAGGTTCTGTTTTGAGTGCCTGCCACATAGTTTGTGCCAGAAACCATTAACATAATCTATGAAATTCACAGGTAGTTCATCTGAGACCCCTGATTCTGCAGCACTGCTAAAGGTCCTCATGCCTTTGACCAAACACCAAGTAATTAGGGTTAAACCTCGTGCTCTGCCAACAGAAGCCATCGTAAACCTTGCTTGCAGTCACCTTTCATTTCTGTGCCACCTTGTGGAGCCCACTTATGAAGCAGTGCGTCCCTCTACAGAAAATATGCAGACGCTGCACTTCTGACTTCACTAAGCTGCACTCTGTCAAAAAGTACTTAGTAGCATCAGCACACTGTGCTTGAACTAGCTGTTGCTGGGAAACTGAAAAATGTTCAGTAATATTTAATCTGGTTCTGTACACAAAGACTTTATGCAGCGGGTTACAAGGAGTGGTTACTCTCAGCCCCACAAACAAGCGCACACACTGAGCGGCGTCCTGAGAAAAGGATAACACCGAAGCCAAAACGGATTCTTTGCTCCTGTCACAGATTGTTTTCACAGGCTGCCATGTTATCTTTACCTTTGAGTGATACAAATATATCTGTACAGTAATATATCTGTACAGTAATATATCTGTACAGTAATAACCTTTCTTGCTGCTTAAATGACTAGACAACAGACTGTTGGGGGGGGGGGGAATCCCAGGGACGTTTCGAATGGTGCTGAATACAAACCTTTTTGTCCAGTGTCCAGTATGGAGCTGTGTCCTTCTCCTTTAGGCCTGGAAAAAGAATGTGCAACTCTTTTTACCACTGACTCCCTCCACTTCCTGCATGAGCTGATTTCCACATTTGATGAGGAGGTGGACGAGGTAGGACAGCCAAAAAACCTCTTTGTGAATAAACGAAGGACTTGTTTGAGTCAGGGTGATTCTCTCTTCAGATTCTACAGCTGAGAGTGTCTAAAAAGGCCCAGCTGGATCTCACAGGTGATCTGCCAAGCTTCCTGGAAAGTACCAGACACATCAGGAGAGACCCAGACTGGAAGGTCCTTCCCGTCCCCTCAAGGCTCCAAAAGAGACATGTAGATATTGGAGACTTGGCACCCTGCGATACTGAGCACTTCATTAAAGCTCTTCTGTCACCAGCACAAGGCATACAGGTGCTACACAGGTGCAATAATGCAGAGCTAAAGGTGTAATGTTCACTGCTAACACTGGGTTTGCTCATGTCAGTGTGTTTTGTGTTGGTTTCAGCATTATCAAACTCACAATTCCAAAAAAGTTCAGACTTGTAAATACAAACAGCATGTAATGATTTGCTAATTTCATAAACCTGTTTTACTGACAACAGAACATGAAGTGTTTAAAACAACAGAATTTACCATCTGTAGGATCATAGTTGCTCAACAGTCCTTGGTCTTCTTTGGTCACACATTAGGTGTTTTACATTGGTGAAATTTATTTATTTGGTTGTTTCAAACAGGTGAATAAAATGGGGAGGAGTTAGCTGAACCAGAACCAACACCCTCGCTAGATTAGTTTCCTCTTAGACCGTTTAATCGAATGTCTGCCAACCAGTTTGAACACTGTTCACCTCCCAGCTGCACAGTCTGGGTTTGTTAAAAAACCGAATTCTTAATATTGATTTTTTATAATCATGTCTGACATCGTTACCTAAATTTATATATTAATGTTGTTTCTTCTGAGTCATTGCTGACTTTTTTCTTACAGAGCTCTTTTTGGTTTCTGCAGGTTGACTTTGATGATGGAAACTGCCCGACGTATTACAACCAGATCAAAGGCATTTACAATGTTTTTAAAGCAGTGCATAACCTGTTTCCCAGTAAGAGCTCTACTTCACCTTTATCTTCAGTTTACTCTGAGAGACACAGTCCGTACAATCTTAGTAAAAAGAAAGAACATTATATTGTCTTTACTCGTCTGCCTTCACATACATATGAGCTTGAGTGACAGCCAGGCTTAATCCATAGGGTTTAATATGATATCTTTCTACACTGTGCAGCTTCACCTCTTTTGGGAAGAACTTCTAGAAGGTTTAGGAGTATATTTATGGGAATATGTTACCGTTCTTCCAAAAACACATTTGTGAGAAGGAGCAAATCTGAACGTGAAGTTTAGAGGTCTGTAGCTGCTGTCTTTGCAGAAAGTTGGTGACTTCTGCACACTATGGGCCACATGACCCGGGCTACCACTTTGTTTCTGTTGTTCTCGTCCACTCCTACTTTGATATAAGACTTGAATGTGGAATATTTAGCAGCAAGGAAATGTGTCCTTCATCCTCTCACTGTGCTGGAATTCCCTGAGCTCCTGAGAGTAACCCTTTGACTTTTTTACATTGAGGTTTTAACTTGTAAATCCGTAGAAAAATCCTTTAAAAAAGCTGTTTTTATTTTTACCATGTTTTCTCATAAGCTATTCCTCTGGCGTCCTTCGTCTGCAGATGTTCCACATGTATCTCAGGCTCCCGTGCTGATGCTGCGTCCCCGTGCGTGGAATATGGTGGAGCACAACATGATGGTAGTATTGAATTTTCATCAGTTTGTTACAGTGGTTGTTTTGTTGGAAGCAATCGAATGTGGTCTGAATACATAGACATAAGGGGCACAAATTCACTGAAATAACAGAAGTGGTACTAAGGATCATATACATGAAAGGACTGGTGAGGAAAACAACACGTGTGCTTTTCTGTGGTCAGGTGGAGGGGAAAGAAGCTCCTGGCCCGCTCTTTGACTTTGGGCTCCTCATGTTTCACTGTGGAAAGGCACTGTTCGAACACAAGAGTGGACCCTTTTTCTACCTGTCCAAAGTAACACACGTGCAAACCTACATATGTTCAAACATGCTGATGATTTCATTTATCTGGGTTTGCACTGTTATCCTTTGTTCTGTAGGTGGAGGGCTACATGGAGGCCAGACTCTGGAACAAAATATTTGTTTGGACACAGCAGAAGGTTTGCACTGTTTTTGGTCTTTATGTATAAACTTGTTTTTGTACTATGCCTTGTGTTTCTGGCTTGTAGCCGCTGTGCACTGGCCCTACAAGCACTGACAGCAGCCTAACACCGGCCTGCCACCTACCTTCCCTGTGCTCTCATGCACCTTGTAGAAGAGAGTTTAATGTGGAAGAAGTGGTTGATAAAGACTGACAAACAAAAGAGAAAAAAGATGGAGCTGAAAAGCTAAAAGCTCCTTTATCCTTTAACCTCAGGCCCTCTACAAGAGGCCGAGGTGAACTGAAGGCCATGTGCAGCATCTTCGGTGTTTCTGGGACTTCTCTGGACAGACACATGTCATTCCTGGGATCTACTGAACCCCAGGAACTGTGTACCAAGTATATATAACAGTTATATATAGGTATATAGAATTATGTTGAATCTGAAAACACATCAGATCTCAAAACGCAGGCTGTTAGTGCAACATACTCTTTGACTAACCAATGCACTCTCCTCTCCAGTAGCCTGGTGTAAACTGTCCGAAGCGTGATCCTTCTGTTCTTGTCCCAGTGTTACAGGGACATGCTAGCCAGGACAGTACCACAACAGTTAGAGCCTAAAGGGACTGGATGCATTGTTGACTGTTTCTATACGTATCTGACTGAATCCATGTCTCACATGTGTCTAGCTGGGTCTTCCTCTGGGCAGCATCAAGGCCACAGTGCTGATTGAAAATGTGTTAGCAGCCTTTGAGATGGAGGAGATTCTCTATGAGCTGCAAGAGCATTCAGCAGGACTCAACTGTGGCATCTGGGATTACTCAGCCTCCTTTGTCAATAAGTTTGGTGAGTTGAAAATTCTAGATTGTAGTCTGTGAAAAATCTGGACCCCACGCAGCGTTCAGGTGACTGTTTTCTGTTTCTTTTATTTAACACACAGAAATGTTTCTTTGTGGTTTGGCACCGAGGTCTTTTACAGGCAGTCAGCTTTGCATCTGACTCCACACTCTGAGGTCTCTAGTCTCAGGTCCCTGGCGTTACTAAAAGGAAGGAGACCTCGTTAGCACAACACCTGCCTCATCAGCCTTTCCTGCGCTGCCCCTTGAGCCCCCAGCACCACCCCTCCATGGCAGCAGAGCCAGAGACCACACCGCCTCACTGAGGCCGGGGCCGCATCCGGCCAAACCTAGACCCGTCAGTCAAAGGGCTGAGGGAACCGCCTAACCTCCTTTTTGGTCTTGGGATGGGGCAGGATCCAATGGCAGCCATGTCCTGCGCCTGTGGGCGCACCTGCACGCCTCACAAGTGGTAGCCCAAATGCCTGGGGCAGCTCCAGCACTGCAAACAACAGAGGGGCTAGCCAGCACTCTCAATTGCATTCATCCTTGTGAATGAACTTATGGACTTTTAAGTCTTATTGAGCTGCTCCACCAGCCCGTCACTCTGAGGATGGTAGCCGCTGGTCCGAACAGATTTAATGCCCCCTAATTTATACACCTCTTTTAGTGTGTGAGACATGAATGATGGGTGCTGGTCAGTCAGTATCTCTTTCAGGATGCCGGCCAGGAGATGAACTGAAACAGTGCCTGCAGCACACTCTTTGCAGAAATGGTGTGCAGTGGCAATGCTTCTGGATATCGCGTTAATAATACACCAGAGCTAATACAAAGTGATAGCCACTTGCACTCTGGTGATGGCCCGATTAAGTCCATACCTAAGCGTTTAAATGGGATCGCCCTTAATCGCAGTGAGTGCAAAGGCGTTTTTGCAATGGCCGGCTGGCTAACCAACTGACATTCGGGGGTGGATGTGGGAGTGGGAAAGAACGCCCCACTCTGCTCCTTCTGCCATGGCTGCCAGGTGGACAGCCAGGGTGAGCGCAGCCTCCAGGCTCGCTGACCAATGGCAGTGGAACCGGGCAGCCTCTCCACGAACTGCTTGACCTTTGCCAACACATGGGCCTCACCCTCTGATGGCTCAGGCTGCAGCCACCTCATCACATCATGCAATTTCCAGGCCCACGTGAATGGCCGGTCATCCCCCTTCATCTGGCTGGCCCAGAACCACCAGCAATGATCTTCCAGGCGATCCAGCACAGCCGGACAGATGTCCCAGAAGTTACCTCGTGAGGCTGGTGGCAGGCGGTGCTCCCCTGACAACAGCGGCAGCAGCCGCGGTGCACCACTCTGCTGCAGGCCACTGGCGCACCTCCCCTGTGGCCCAGAATGCCTTCAGGAAAACCTGTGGGTCATCACCTTTCCCCATCCAGTGCACAGTCACCTCCAGAGCAAGGGGGGGCAGCAACGGGGTCACCCTGACCATCCGCTCCAGCACCTGCATCTGCCCGTCAGCCTTTTTCCGCAGCTTGTGCAGCTGATCCTTCTGGGCAGCTGCCTGCTCGCGTTGCATGGCCACTATCTCTGCCAGCATCTGGGCCAGCAACTAAATCGGCTGCGCGGGCGGCGTGGCCTGAGGGTCGGACTGTGAAAAGTCTGGACACACAGAAATGTTTCTTTGTGGTTTGGCACGAGGCCTTTTCCAGACAGTCAGCTTTGCAGCTCTCTCGTCTCAGGTCCCCTGCACCACCCCTCCACTGCAGCAGAGCTAGAGACCACACCCCTGTCATTTTAGGTTTTTTCCTTCATTTCTGCACCAATTCTTGTGAAACCACAGATCTTCTACTGAAATTCAGCTGATTTCCATATTGATATTAAAGCCATAGTACTTCAGATAATATAATAATCTTGATATTATGTTTCCAATCTAAATCTGACTACAAAATAATATTTTAGATTTCCTTTTAGTCAATATTCCTGGGACTTAAGAGTTAAACCGCAGCCTAGTGGAAACTTTAGTAACTCTTAACAGTCCAGCAACTTTTCACAGTACATAAAGTGTACAACAAAGAACATGAATTGAAGAAGTTCTCCAGGTCATCGACCAGCCTTCCTGCTGCCTGACCGCCATAAATACGTGAACATGGAGAAGCATTTTCTGCGCAGCTACATGGATCTGTTGGTTAAGACATGTCATCGGCGAGGAGCACTGGCCACTGGAGGCATGGCTGCCCTGCTGCTGCCTGAAGACCCACTCAGTGACACCTACAGGAGAGTGTTGGCTTCTGTCACAAGGTAGAAATATCTCCCATTAGATACTTGCATGCTCACAGCCTGAACATGCAGGCTTGTACATAGACTGTATGTGAAAAAGTGTTTTTCAGTTTCTAAATAAACGTGTTTATTATTTAGGGGAAAAAATCAATCCTACATGGCCCTGTGTAAAAAAAATAATTCCCCCCTGTGTTGTACAGAAGACTTGCCCCAGCTAAGGTCACTGTTCATGACTCCACCATAAGAAATAGCAAAACTGGCCTGCATGGCAGATTTCTAAAACGAAGACCACAGCTGAGCAAAAGGAACATAAAGGCTCGTCTCAGTTCAGGAAACATTCTGATGATCCCCAAGACTTCTGGGACGTCTGGGAACATACTCTGTGGACTGACGAGACAAAAGTTAACTTTTTGGTAGATGCGTGTCCCGTGACATCTGGCGTAACTGTAACAGAGCATTTCGGAAAAGGAACACCATAGCAACAGTAAAATGTGGTGGTGGTGGTAGTATGATGGTCTGGGGCTGTGGCTTGCTGTGGTAAATGGAGCCATGAATTCTGCTGTCTACTAAAACATCCTGAAGGAGAAAGCCCGGCCATCTGTTTGTGATTTCAACTTAAAGTGCAGTTGGTCCTGCAGCAAGAGAATGGTCCACCTCTGAATGGCTCAAGGAAAACAAAATAAAGACTTTGGTGTGGCCTAGTCAAAGTCCTGACCTGAATCCAATTGATATGCTTAGGTTATATGACCTTAAACAGGTGGTTCATGTTTGAAAACCCTCAAATGTGGCTGAAATACAACAATTTTATGAAGACGAGTGGGTCAGAATTCCTCCAATGCACTATGAAAGACTCATAGCCGGTGTTGGGGAGTAGCAGAATACATGTACCACCGTTACGTAGTTAAAATACAAACTATGAGTAACTGTATTCTGTTACAGTTACCGTTTAAAAAGGTGGTATTCAGAATACAGTTACTTCGTTGAAATAAAGGGATTACACGGCGGTCTTTTCCTGTTTCATATGTTCGGCTATGCCCTCTCTGTTTTCGGTTTCACGCTGGTGGAAACCCAAACAAAACACGCATTAAGAGGCTCTAATGTCTGTGACTCAATCTCGCCGCCCATGTCACCACTGCTTGCAGCAGCATAATGACGTGAAGAAATATGTTAAAGAATTATTCACAAAAATGATTTAATATGAAGGCAGAGTGTTACAGGCATCGCCCTAAAGCATGCAGCCTGATGGGCAGTGTAGTCCGTGCTGCAGGGAGAATGGACTGCCATACCCGTCATGTGTCTGTGAGCGAAGGAGGGAGAAAAAGGAAAAGTACGAGCTGTCACCGAGCAGAAACGGGAGCTGGAAGCATGTAAATATAATAATAACCACTGCAGCCAAGAAGAGAGCCTGACGAGCCCAGTTGTAAGTAAGCTGTTAAGACTCGACTGTACGCTGTGTTCGTGTTTTCCTCTGAAACAATAAGCTCCGTTGGAGCAGCCTTTCAACGCCTCTTTCTAAAACTTGACCCAGACAACAAAGTAAAGCTAGTTTTCGGCTATAAGCCCGACACGAACCCGACGTATTAGCCAGAGGTCCCTTTACTACGGTTCGGAGCCTTTATATACCTATTCACACAGGGACATGTAGGTTTGGACTTATCCCCTTAAAAATAAACACATAGTTCTTGCGTGTTATCTTTGTCTAATATTTAAATTTGTTTGATCCACACAGCGTCAGAAATATACATAAAGCATCAAAACTATATGCACCCCACTAATATTTGATTAGCAATGACAAATTACTCCTTGACTAGATGCTTGTTTTTAGCCATCAACAAGCTCCTGGCATTGTTTTTGCTAGATACCTGACCATTCTCCTTGGCAGAATTGGTAGAGTTTAAATGATTTGGTTTCCTGGTTTATAAGGATAAGCGTAGTCTACACATTTTCAGTAGTGTTGAAGTTGGGGCTTTGGGAAGGCCAATCCAGAAGTGTACAGTCCATTTCTAAAACTGCAGATTCCAGGATCATCAATTGAAACAATTGTACATAAAAATACATTTTGGGGTGTGTCCCCACTTTGCCAAGGTCTGAAAGAAGACCCAAACTGCCACCCTTATATGAGAGAAAATGTGTTAGGATGTTCAGGAACAACCCAGGAACCACCAAGCTTACCTAGAACTGAAACACCAGTGTCACTGAAACAACGAGGAGAAGAAGAAGTGGGTTAGCTTCACTAGGGTTAGGCTTAGCTTTCAAACCTAAGAATACTGCACCAGCTGCCAAGTATAGTGGCAGTACAGTCATGCTCTGAGACTGTTTTGCTGACAGTGGTACTGGTGGTACTGGGAGCCCACCATCAAAAGAGGATTTCACACCACCTCCTCCCACCACAACTCTTCATATTCATGAAGCAGATGTGAGGAAGCAGTTTAAGAGTCTGAATGCTCGGAAAGCTCCCGGCCCAGACGGTGTGTCTCCTGCCACCCTCAGACACTGTGCAAACGAGCTGGCCCCAGTGTTTTCTGGCATTTTCAACTCCTCACTGCAGGCATGTCATGTGCCTGCCTGCTTCAAGGCCTCTACCATAATCCCTGTCCCCAAGAAACCTAGGATCACTGGACTAAATGACTACAGACCCGTGGCTCTGACATCTGTGGTCATGAAGTCATTTGAGCGCCTAGTTCTCTCCCATCTCAGGACCCTCACGACCCCCCTCCTGGACCCCCTGCAGTTTGCATACAGAGCCAACAGGTCTGTAGATGACGCCATCAACATGGCCCTACACAGGAACCTACGCCAGGATCCTGTTTGTGGACTTCAGCTCTGCCTTCAACACCATCCTTCCAGACCATCTCCGAGACAAGCTTTCCCAGATGAATGTGCCTGATCCCATCTGCCGGTGGATCACTGACTTCCTGACGGACAGGAAGCAGCATGTGAGGCTGGGAAAGAATGTCTCGGACTCCCGGACCATCAGCACCGGCTCCCCTCAGGGCTGTGTTCTTTCTCCTCTGCTCTTCTCCCTGTACACCAACTGCTGCACCTCCACCCACCAGTCTGTCAAGCTAATCAAGTTTGCAGATGACACCACCGTTATTGGGCTCATCTCGGACGGGGACGAGTCTGCCTACAGGAGGGAGGTTGAACGTCTGGTGTCCTGGTGCAGCCACAACAACCTGGTGCTGAATGCCCAGAAGACAGTGGAGATTATTGTGGACTTCAGGAAGCACACAGCCCCACTCCCCCCCATCATCCTGACTGACACCCCCATCACCTCTGTGGACTCATTCCGCTTCCTGGGTACCACCATCACCCAGGACCTGAAATGGGAGCCCACCATCACCTCCGTCATCAAGAAAGCCCAGCAGAGGATGTACTTCCTGAGGCAGCTGAAGAAATTCAACCTGCCAACACGGACGATGATGCAGTTCTACACTGCAATCATCGAGTCCATCCTCACCTCCTCCATCACCGTGTGGTACGCTGGAGCCACTATCAGGGACAAACAGAGACTGCAGCGTGTTGTGCGCTCTGCTGAGAAGGTGATTGGCTGCAGACTCCCATCTCTGCAGGACCTGTACACCTCCAGGACACTGCGGCGTGCAGCTCGGATCTCAGCTGACCCTTCTCACCCTGGACACAGTCTGTTTGACCTGCTCCCCTCAGGCAGGAGGCTCCGGTCCATTCGCACCAGAACCTCTCGCCATAAGAACAGTTTCTTCCCCTCTGCTGTTGGACACATGAACAATAACCATATGACTGTACCCGCCACTAACACATGACCCTACGCTGTGTCACTGCATCATTCCATGTTTGGCACTGATCACTACCTGCACTCATGTATATATCTTTCTACGTAGCACTTTTAATTCTTATTCTTACTTTTATTTTTTTCCATGTCTATTTAAGTGCTATTTATGACAGCATGTTTGCACTGAAGCACCGCAGCAATTTCCTAATGTTGTAAACCTGCTCAACATTTGGCAATAAACCCCTTTCTGATTCTGATTCTGATTCTGGTGCACAGGGGATAGAATAATGAATAAAACAGTTTTCACTCTGAATTCTTCCATTTCACCTTAATCCAACAGCTGACAGTCAAAACCTGGAAATAACCGGGTGGTCCAATAGAACAACTTACTCATCTACACATCAGAACTGTGATGGGAACGGACAAAGCAGGCTAACATTAAGTTTGTGGAATGGCCTTCCCAATGCACCCACCTAGGCCTCATTGAAAATTTATGAACTATGCTTATTAGTCATATATGAAGCTAGAAATACACCAGAAGCTTGTGGATGGCTGCCAAAAGCTTCTGTTGAAGTACAACTTGCTAAAGCACATTTAAACAAATATTAATGGAAATCTATGAATACTTTTAACCCTGTATGTACTTCTGACACTCTGAGCCTCTGTGGATTTCTTTCAGTAGATGTCAGCAGGGTTGGGTCTGTCATGCTTGGTGCTGTGGCAGGCAGGATGCAGAGGGATGAACTTAAAGAAGCAGCTTTATTGTGCTGTGCAAAAGACACTCAAAAAATAAACTCACGAAAAACAAACTAGAAACTGGAAACTAAAAACTAAAACTTGGAACAGGGAGCCATGAGGGGAAACCAGAAAGATGGAGAAACTCACAGCACATGGGTGTGGGAAGTGGAAAACACAGGGCGTAAATAGACAGAGAAGTAGCTGTCAGTGGCAGTGTCATGGTTGGTGGTCGACCACGTGGCCAACGGTACTTCACAGGGGCCCGGCAGAGGTGACGAACCTTCTCAGGGGGTTCACCCATCCAGCTCTGGTTTCTCTGGTCAGGCCTGCACAGGACTTGCAACAGGCTCCGGTGATGGGTGTCCCTCATGCTCAGGCAGCGAGGGACCGCCTGCCTTGACCTCTGCAGCAGGTGGTGGCATGAAGGCTGCAGGGGGCTGGACAGGCTCGGCTGATTCTCCAGCTGGCAAGGCTTTGGTCAGTGGTTGTTCATCGATGGGCATGCCACTTTGCATATTAATGACCCATCGTTCCTTCAGTGGGCTGGTTTCAGTCATTGTGCAAAAGTACTGTTTATAAGATTGAAACCTGCAGTCAGCTGAGACTGAAGACGTCACTTGGATGAGTGATGAAACACTTCTCCCACTGAAAACGTCCAGATGAACAGAATCAACCTTTTGGGATAAACATACAACATAAATACACAAGAGGGTGATGAGGGAGGAGGAAGAAGAAACATATGGGGAACACAGCTGAGGCAAATACACATAATGGCAAGAGAGGAGGAAAACTGAACACACTGAACATAGGATGTGACACTGTCAAACAAACAGGAAACACTGAGACACATTAAAAATACCAGTCAACATATACTGGTCAAATACACAGCTAGACACAGGCTGGGAGGAAGGAGCAGCCAGAAAAATCCACCCGACCTGTTCCAGACCCTGACAAGACCTCGACTACTCCTTTGATTATGTACTGTAGTTAAGGTCTTCAAGTCCTCACAACCTTCTGAAATCACCTTGATGCAAACTCAACCACTCAAGTAAGGAAATCTCAGAAAGTCGATCCCATTTTAATCCCCAGTGGATTAAAATCCCAGTCATTTCATATCCAACGAACAGAGCCCACTTTGTGATTTCCTTACCTGGATAATTGCATGCATCAACTGAAATTGTAAAAGTCCCCTGGATGACTGACAGATGTTTCTCCCACAGAAAATAATACTTCCAGATGAACAGAATCAACTTCCTGGGATTCTGAAATTGTTCCAGAATTTGTAGATGGTGTTTTTTTATAGATTGGTGAACCTACCCCCATCTTTACTTCTTTACTTCTCCAGTACGTGCCATGTTACTGACATGTTGCCAGTTAGCCTGTGACTAAAATATGGGTTTCTGAGATTAGCAAATAGCATTTTATTTTTATTTACATTTTACAGTGTGTGTTTGTGTGTCAGTGTGCGTGGATAAGTGTGTGTGTATAACGTCTGTATTTGGTATATGTGCATTTTATTAAACTCAAGAAATGTTCATTATTGTTTTCCCCACAGGGTATAGCATATGAAAATATGACAATACATACAATCTGAATACATATTCAGTGATGTCCGCTGATCCAGTTGTGTTTTTCCACCTTTCAGGTTGAAGTTATTAGAGATTACTGCAGGTGTGGATGGTTTCATGGTATATGACCTAAATTTGGTTGAGCCCATGCAGAAAGTGAGCGCTGACACATATAAAGCTTTATATGCATATAAAGTTACAGTGATTGGCAAATGTGAAAGTGTGTGGCAATTCTTCATCTTTTCCAGCTCTTCAAGGGCCACACCGAAGGAGATAACCAGCTTGACCAGCTCCGAAATGACGTGACTGTATTTCCTGAAGACTTGCTATCCATGCCTTCAGTTAGTGGTTGCTCTTAGTGAACTGCAGAACACACCTCAAACTTTTAACAGTAATATTACAGTTAGCATTACATTTAATTGATTGAAATACATCAGATTTTAGTGTGGGTAGGAAGACTTCATCCAACAGGAAGAGGGAGGCTTTCACATCTAGATGATGTTAGGCATGAGTGAAAACATCCTCTATACCAGATGCATACGATATAGTTTTCTGTCCACAGAATAACCACTTTGCCTCATTTATTTTAGATGATGAATCAAACATTGTGTTCTTTTCCTAAAGATATTTAATTAGAATTATATATATAATATAATATATAAAACGTTTTGGTGTGCTGTATTCTTCGTAGGGAGGAGTCACGCTTAATGGTTTGAAGTATAACATTGCAGTTGGTGTGCTCTTTATTAATGCTTGGCTATCAGGTTTGTACTTTTATATTATCCATGGAAAAATGCTTAATGCACTAAATGCTATATACATGTATGTTGATACCATTTTGTGTTTCTAAGGTAAAGGCCACTTCTTCTACAAAGGCCAGGTTGAAGATTCTGCCACAGCAGAAATTTCTAGATCGCAGGTGAGTTCTCAAAGCGAGCACCACAGAGCATATGTTGCTGAGATTCATGTAGAGCTTGATCTACACCCACAAGTAATTAGTATTTAGCATATATTTAAATGTTTTTGACAATGTTGTTTGGGAAACAAGCACATTTCTTTTTTAAATTTGCTCTAATAGATACATATTTAACACAGTGACTAAGATGCACCCTGTAATTTGTTTGTTTGTTTGTTTTTGTTTTTCATTCAGTGTCATGTGGCATGCTTCTTTCTCCTTTTAGCGGCATTTTTTTTAAAGTATCACTGAATAGGTTTTGCTTGTGGGTTAATTACTTCATGTAGTCAGTGTTGGGAAGGTCACTTGTAAAAAAGTAGTTTGTAACATATTCCATGAAGTTACTTAATGTGAGTAACGTGTTCTGAATACTTTGGATTACTTCATATATTGTCATGCCTTTTACAGCTACATGAATGTACTATTGCTGTGTGACTTATTACTGTTACTGAAGGCTACCTGCAACCAAGCTAACATTGTTAGCTGAGGTTAGTTCATCGACTGCAGACTGTTAGACTTGATGGAGTAACAGTAGGTGGACATTAGGTAAGGCTGCACTTTTTGCAGCGATCTCATACAGAAAACTGTTTCTGTATCAGTAATATGTTTTCTTTCTGTCTGCTTTCAGAACTGCACATGATTATTTGCAGCTAGCAGGTTGTAATGCTGCCTTCATTAATAGTAATAAATCACACAGCAGTAGTACATCCAAGATACCGAAGTGGCACGTAACCCAGGTAGTTACCACAACTAAAACAAGCTAGCTGCAGTAGGCTAATGTTAGTTTTTTTTAAAAAGAACGTACTTCCAGATGTTTCTTCAGGTTGGAGTCTTTTGACGCTGAGAGCAGCTTGGTTGCTGGCAAACAGAGTTTGCATTGCACGGTCAGATTTCATCCCTTTCTTCTTTAAATGTGAAGTGTGTCGGAATTTCCAAGTAAGAAATGCATTGCTGCCCGTGCACTGCTGGCTCTGTTGTGCTGGACATTGTTCTGGTGTTCCCCAGGGTTCTGTACTGGGCCCCAAACTATTTCTTATTTATAAAAATACATTTGTAAAGTATCTGATATATTAAAACTGGTTTTATTTTCAGATGACACAAATAGTTTTGTTCTCGGGTAATCTAATGGAACTGCTGGGTATAGTTTGACAGGAACAAACTATGTAAAACCAAAATGATGTTATTTGTAAATCCTCAATTAAAGTCAAAGTGCAGATTGATCTAGATTGTGTGGAAACTGAAAGACTTCATGAACATAAGGGTCTTGGTGTAATACTGGATACAAAATAAGCTGGAAATCTCATATAAAACATGTACAGAACAAAGTTTCAAGAAGCATTTCAATATTGAGTAAAGCAAAACACATTCTGGACCACAAATCACTCCACAGTCTTCACACTCACCGTTCACTGATTTCACCGTATTTGAATTACTGGGCACTCAGGTCTGGGTGGAAGTTTTTCTCAAATTTCAGCCTGTAAGATTCTGGCACTCATTAGTTGTTTTAAAGAGCAAATGTTCTTTGGCCAGTTTTTAGAAGGGCTGATTGAGAGGTGGAAAGACCGTCGCATACAGCTGCTCCATCTTCATCTCTTACACATGAATGCCTTTGACCTCAAACTGCTCCTGTTAACTCCACCTCCTTTATGCACACAGCTGTGGCTCCACTGTAGATGTACCTGTTTGAGGACGGAGATTTAGGCAGTGGGGCAAGATTACCAGCAACAGCACCCAGTTGAATTCCCTCTACAGGAGCTTGCTTACCAAACAACACCTTTCATCCAGCTTTGTGCACAGAGCTCCTTCAGCTATTTTATTCTTGACATTTAAGGATACAGGCACATGAAGTTTGTTAAGTGTGTAAGATTATCTTCCTATCAAACTTAAACTCCATCTACTCTAGTGTCCCCTGGGCTAGGGGTAACCTAGTCCTACTATGAAATGTAACTCCCCACTCTCAAGTAAAGGACAGCAATGCAGAAAAATTCAGGATGCCAGACAGCAGTGTGTTTGCTTCAGAGGTGAGCAATGCCAAAACAACAAAGATTTGAATAACAAATCTTCAAGGTCCATAAGCAATAACCAAGAAAAGAAAATCAACAAAAAACACTTCTCACTGCTACTAATCTGCTGCCAGCTGTTCTGTATGTACTGTGGATACGTATTTACAAACATTATTTAACTGCTGCCTCTGTGTTGGGTGCAGAGATGCAAAGTGGCTGTCAGCTGGAGGTTAACAGACCGCAGTCCATCCAATCATGCAATCCACATCTACCAACTTCCACCCAATAGAAGTGGAAGCTAATCCGCCGTCTCCACCTGTGTCACAGCATACACATAGACATGCACTCGTTCACACCATGGAAGAGGGGAAACTGCGTGCACCTCCACACACTCTGTCAGTGCGCTCCAGGGCAGCTGTGGCTACAATGTAGCTGCCATCACCAGGGTGTGAATGTGTGGATGTGTAAAGAGCTTTGGGGTCCTTAGGGACTAAGTAAAGCGCTATACAAATGCAGGCCATTTACCATTTAATGGGAGGAGCCAACTTAACATGAGCCGTGATCATAGATCATAAGACCATGTTTTGCTTTGTGTCTTTGTCAGGTGTGGCAGTGGGTCCGTCATCAGACCCGGCTGGAGGACGATGGCAGGGTGGTGAGCAGGCAGCTGGTGACTGACCTCATCAAGGAGCTCATCATGGACCTCAGTCCCCACTGTGGCTCTGTTAGGTAAGCAAATGCACCCTCTTTGAAGAGGATATGGTAGGTGAGTGGTTCCAGTGACATCCTTCATTGAAGAATACAATATATATGTTTAATGCCTTCTTAATGTAAATAATAATTAATTTTTAATTGACTGATGAATCCTGTGTCCCAGGATATTTGCACCAACTTTTTTGATTAAATGAGAGTTTTCACCATAATCTCAGCATGGAGAAGATTTGTCAAATTATGCTACTAATGCTTTTAAATGTCACAGAAAATGTGGAAAAAATGGAAAAGTGACAGATTTTTTTGGGATACCTTTCTATTGCTTCTTTTACTGCAGAAAGATTTAATGAAACCCGAGTTTGTCTTAGTCGCATGATTTCTTTTTTCTGTCATCCAATAATTTTTGTTGAGCCATAATCAACAAATATGCAGTTTGTTTCAAGAGTGTTGGTCAGGGCTGTGCAGAGATGTTTGAAGGGGGGTGCTCAAAGTTAAAAGGGGAACATAGAACCAGGCTGAATAACAACAAACCACATTCATCAGGACTCTAATATGGAACTGCATCACAGAGTCATCAGGTGGGGGCAATGCAAAGCAAACGTAGCCCATGTTTACCTGCTGGGGTGCAATGTTGCTGCTGCTCCTGCGGCTGATAGTGCTGCAGGGCAGGGTTATGTTGATCTGAGACTGTAGACATTAAAAAGTCCACAGGAGAGATGGTAGCTGATTAAGGAAGTGTTATAAAATAATAATAAAATGTAAAGATTGGTGTCAGCACTTTGAACCATAAGGCAACAGATTGAAAAACTGTGAGAAATAAAGTGAAACTGGAATATTAGTAGGGCAAAGGAAAGAGGTGGCCATAGTAGGGTAAGAATGTAACAAAAAATACATGCACATAGAACACACACAACACATACAGTATTCTCCAGAATACTGTATATACTATGGCCACAAGTTTGCATCCTGGTGCTCTGACATCAAGAGTGGGCATTGGTTAATAGTCATCAGGTCATCATGTGACTGATGCAAGCCAGGTCCTTTTATTTAGCTAAACTGTGATTAATTAGTTAAATGTTATTGTTGAGGTGCACTCCGAAATAAAGTAAAAAAGAAAAATGCTTGAAGAAAAAGGCACATGGAGCACCCATGTTCTTTTGATCCTCTTTTGCTAAAATTTGTTATATATATATATATAAAAAAAAACACCCAGCACGCCCCTGCGGGCGGTTTATCCTTCAAGCTCGGGTCCTCTACCAGAGGCCTGGGAGCTTGAGGGTCCTGCGCAGTATCTTAGCTGTTCCCAGGACTGCGCTCTTCTGGACAGAGATCTCCGATGTTGTTCCCGGGATCTGCTGGAGCCACTCGCCTAGCTTGGGAGTCACCGCACCTAGTGCTCCGATTACCACGGGGACCACCGTTACCTTCACCCTCCACATCCTCTCGAGCTCTTCTCTGAGCCCTTGGTATTTCTCCAGCTTCTCGTGTTCCTTCTTCCTGATATTGCTGTCATTCGGAACCGCTACATCGATCACTACGGCCGTCTTCTTCTGTTTGTCTACCACCACTATGTCCGGTTGGTTAGCCACCACCATTTTGTCCGTCTGTATCTGGAAGTCCCACAGGATCTTAGCTCGGTCATTCTCCACCACCCTTGGGGGCGTCTCCCATTTTGACCTCGGGACTTCCAGGTTATACTCGGCACAGATGTTCCTGTACACTATGCCGGCCACTTGGTTATGGCGTTCCATGTATGCCTTGCCTGCTAGCATCTTGCACCCTGCTGTTATGTGCTGGATTGTCTCTGGGGCATCTTTACACAGCCTGCACCTGGGGTCTTGCCTGGTGTGATAGACCCCAGCCTCTATGGATCTTGTGCTCAGAGCTTGTTCTTGTGCTGCCATGATTAGTGCCTCTGTGCTGTCTTTCAGTCCAGCTTTGTCCAGCCACTGGTAGGATTTCTGGATATCAGCCACCTCCTCTATCTGCCGGTGGTACATACCGTGCAGGGGCCTGCCCTTCCATGATGGTTCCTCGTCTCCCTCCTCTTTCTTGGGTTTCTGCTGCCTGAGGTATTCACTGAGCACTCGGTCAGTTGGGGCCATCTTCCCAATGTATTCTTGGATGTTCCTTGTCTCATCCTGGACTGTGGTGCTGACACTCACCAGTCCATGGCCTCCTTCCTTCCGCTTAGCGTACAGCCTCAGGGTGCTGGACTTGGGGTGAAACCCTCCATGCACGGTCAGGAGCTTCCTGGTCTTGATGTCAGTGGCTTCTATCTCCTCCTTTGGCCATCTTATTATCCCAGCAGGGTACCTGATCACGGGCAGGGCGTACGTGTTGATGGCCCGGATCTTGTTCTTACCATTCAGCTGACAATATATATATATATATATATATTAGGGGTGTAGCGATACACAAAATTCACAGTTCGGTTCGATACTTTTTCTTTTTGTTTTTTTTTTTTCCTTTTTTGTGTCCCGTTTGGATCTTTAGCCATCAGAATTGTTGTCTTAAGGCCAAGAAAGATGCCAAGCGGATTTATTTTATGATATTTTTTGATATTTTTTCGATACAAAAAAATGTTCATGCCTTTTTAATTTGTCATTTATTAAAATTGTAAATATATATTTTTAACTCAAAAGTACAGTTTTTAAATTTAATGTTGCTGAAACAACAAAGTAATAAAAAATAAATCTGATCGAGAAATCACTCATCTTTGGAAAAGAGAGTTTATTACAGAGAAATGGCTCTTTCAAAATAAAAGCTATACTATACTCTTCTTCTGGGCTATATTCTCAGCAGCATATTAAACATATCAGGTCCCCATAAGGAGAATCCTGTGCTAACGGCTGTCTAAACGACTCGGGTAAAGTTTGTAGCATGCGTGCTTGTTGTTTTTGTCTGCTTCCACTTGTCTTTGCACGAGGATGCTGTCGGAATAAATGTGCAGTCATATTCGTTGTGTTCCCACTAGTGCTGTCAGCGTTAATTTGAAATGACGTTAACGCCACAACACGGCAAATCTCCGTTAACGAGCTACCGCGGATCGCCCCGTGCGTGGGGCTGGACGGCATCAACATGTTCAAGTTCAAGTTCAAATTTTATTCGCCACATGCAGTGGCATTTTAGATTAGTTGCAATGGGAAAGCACAAGAGGAAAAAAAGAGACCTCTACTCATGCTGGGCTACAGGAGGACAGCATGAGAACAGGAAACAAAAAAACTCCTCTGCACAGAAAGCACATAAATGTCCACAGCACAACATTATAGAGCATGTGACCAGCAACAGAGGTGGGTAGGGGATGAGGAGTAACCCCAGGCAACACAGCAGCCATCCTGCCTGCGCCGACTCTCCAGCGCGGGCCCAGACCCGCCTCGTGTTCCCAGGAGGCAACAAGCATCGAAGGCATTGGAAGGGGAGGGGGGATGAGTGAGTGCTTATCAGTGTAAGTGTATATGTGTGTGCGTGTGTTCCGCGAGCGGGGAATTATATATATATATATATATATAAACGCCCAGCACGCCCCTGCGGGCGGTTTATCCTTCAAGCTCGGGTCCTCTACCAGAGGCCTGGGAGCTTGAGGGTCCTGCGCAGTATCTTAGCTGTTCCCAGGACTGCGCTCTTCTGGACAGAGATCTCCGCTGTTATTCCCGGGATCTGCTGGAGCCACTCGCCTAGCTTGGGAGTCACCGCACCTAGTGCTCCGATTACCACGGGGACCACCGTTACCTTCACCCTCCACATCCTCTCGAGCTCTTCTCTGAGCCCTTGGTATTTCTCCAGCTTCTCGTGTTCCTTCTTCCTGATATTGCTGTCATTTGAACCGCTACATCGATCACTACGGCCGTCTGCTTCTGTTTGTCTACCACCACTATGTCCGGTTGGTTAGCCACCACCATTTTGTCCGTCTGTATCTGGAAGTCCCACAGGATCTTAGCTCGGTCATTCTCCACCACCCTTGGGGGCGTCTCCCATTTTGACCTCGGGACTTCCAGATTATACTCGGCACAGATGTTCCTGTATATATATATATATCTATATATATATATATATATCTGTCAAGATCTCTGTCTAAATAAATACATTTGGGTAAATTCCCAGTTGATTAAACATGCAACTATTTTTCAGTGTATTGATTGCACATTTTATTGTGCAACAGCTTTTGCACGACAAAACTCGATGGGTCAGTTGAGCTGTGCACCAGCTGTATAAGCACTGACAGCAGCCCATTGGTTAATTTTCAAATTCATGATGCATGTATAACCTTTTAGAATTTTCACTGAAACACCACATCCATGACACCTATAATTTCTGAACATCCTTAATTTGCTTATGATGCAAACTCACCTTTTAGTTTTTGTTTTGTTTTTGTTTTTGTTTGCTTTTTTGCAGTTACTTTGACACATACCACCTTCCTAAGCATTGTTGTAGACCACGTACACCCTTTCATGGAAACAGTTCCAATAGTCCATTTGGCTTAGGAAGGTTCTTAACTGAGAGACACGACCTGAAAGTATCTGTGTGGCGATCATGATTAAAGTTCCAATTCTCCAAATACTAAGGAAAGGAGCTTCAGTGCTTATTGCCTCCCTTAGCATAGGATGCACTAGACCAGGGGTGGGCAACTCCAGGCCTCGAGGGCCGGTGTCCCTGCAGGTTTTAGATGTGTCCTTGATCCAACACAGCTGATTTAAATGGCTAAATGACCTCCTCAACATGTCTTGAAGTTCTCCAGAGGCCTGGTAATGAACTAATCATGCGATTCAGGTGTGTTGACCCAGGGTGAGATCGAAAACCTGCAGGTTTTGGTTTTCCTAAACGTGCATGTTATAGCATATGTAAGATGATGTTTTCTTTTTCTTTTCTCGCTCTGATAAAATAGGGCGGCAGAGCAGGTCACCTAGCAGGTTGGTGGTTCGTTCCCCATCTGCATGCCAAATATCCTCGCACAAGACGCTAACACCAAGTTGCTCTCCGATGCATCCACCAGAATATGGATGTGTGTCAATTATAGACAGAAAACACTTATACAAGTGCACTGAAAATGTCTGAATCTGTGAGTGGGTGTTTGATGCAAGTTGTGTGCTCAGAGCAGCAAAGCACTATATAAAAACCAACCCATTTACCATTTATCGTTGCAAGATAGCTGCAACATTTCTGCCAGAGGGCAGTCTGAATAAGCTATTTTCAGGATTTTATCTTTCTTTTTCAGACAGAGGTTACACACAGCAGCAAACATGTTCCAGGAGGTGATCGCAAAGAGACATTTTCCAGACTTCATCACTACCTACCTGAACCAGGACCACACCTTCCTCAGCTCCCAGAACGCTGAACCCATGCAAGCTCTGGACAAAGACCTGAGGCGATCGAAACTGTGAAGCTGTGGCACTATATACCTCTGTGTGTGCTGGGGGGGATAGACACATCTGACAGCTCAGATATTTAAACCCTACTTGAGACTGTCCTTTAATGGGTCACTGAACCACTATTACCAGATGTTTCAGGTCAAACCATTATGAGCTATCGAGGTCATCAGATGCAAGATGTGAGTGGGGGTTGAGGCACCTGGGAAGGGATCTCAGAGCTGTAGTGTAGGTGGCACATGGTGTTATAAGCCCCCCTCTGTTTAAAGATGGCTGTTCATTAGGTTATCTAAGTTCTTTTGTTTATTAGATTCCCCTTGTGCTTTCAACCCCTGTGGTAAGTCTCCTTTGTCCTTTATGTGTTTCATGTCTGCATGTCTTGTGTTGTCAAGTTCATGTTGTCGTGTCTGCGTCTCATTATGTTTCCTGTTTTATTTTGAAGAGGTCCTGTGTTCCTGTGTTCGATGTGTTTAGTTTTACGTTTCTCCTGTAGCTGTTTCCCCATGTGTTCCCACTTCCCTCATTATCTTCCTGTGTGTATTTAGTCCGTGTGTTTTCAGGCTTTCCTTGTCTGATCGTCTGCAGTTTTTCCAGGCCATTCATGCTTCCATACCACATTGCAATGTTTAGAGCTTTTCTTGTCTGTTTTTCTATTCAGCGGGGTTTTTCATGGTTCATGTTTCCTTTCTAGTTTACCCAGTTTAGGACATTGTTTAGTTTTGCATTGTGTTCACCATTTTATTTTTGTACCTTTTCCTGCCTCAATAAAAAGCTCATCTTCAGTTAAAGTTGAGTTGTGGTATGACCTCACCTGGGTCCACTCTTCACACTTCACACAGTTTGCCCCGGCAGACTGGACAAAGGAGGATTCCTCCTTCAGTCCATCTGTGTTCTTGGTCTAAAATGCAGACAGTACAACTCTGTATCTAACCAATAAAGGACATTCTTGGATGTCAATGTTCACATTTGGACTGACTGTAATTTGTTATTATCAGCAGATCCTAAAAGCCTTTGTTAGGGTGCCTGGATCGTTGACCCAGTGTTTTGTGTTGATGGGTTTTTGAGTCTTGTTTAATCGTCACTGTTATGTTATCTAGTTGAGTTGATCTGTATTTCTAGTTGAGGCTGTTTGTTATTAGCTCTCGTCTCTGTGTCCTTCCCTCAGTGCTCGCCTGTGAAGTCTGTCGCCCTCCCTCTCCTCCCTCTGTTCCCTGTAGTCAGCCACAGTCTTAGTGTGTGTTTAATGTGTTTCTTGTTTTAGTCTCACAGTGTGCTGCCCTGTGTGTTCCATGTTCAGCTCTGTTTCCTCTATCTTGTGTTGATTTTGTCCTATATATTGCTACCGTATATTTATATAGCAGCAAATCACAATCCCTCACTGACCCTGATAAAGATAAGTGGAAGAGGATGGATTGGATTTATTGAACAGGCCCCGCTAGTTTAGAGACTTATTCCTCATGAAAAACGAAACCAAGACAGAACATCTTCAACCGCTCTTTAACTCGCTAACGAGGGAAGCCTTGGTCAGAACCAGGCAGTGGAGCAATGCTCATCACCTGTCTCTAGCCCAAATCTTTCAAAGAGCAGCTTCCTCGCAGCTGTTTATTGACATGACAGTTACAATACACAATAGTTTACAAGCACCTCCCACCGCAAACCCCCCCAATGGTTCTAAGACAAGGCACTGTGTGTGTGTGTGTGTGTGTGTGTGTGTGTGTGTGTGTGTGTGTGTGTGTGTGTGTGTGTGTGTGTGTGTCCTCCTGCTCACCAAAAGGATCATAAAAGCAGGAAGCTTACAACACGAGAAACAGATCTTTCAGATAGGATGTATCTACAATAAAACCTCCTCCAGCACAGAGTAGCTGGAGAGGTGGAACATCTTTGTTCGTATAGTTTGAACTAAGACTTTACAAATTTAAGAAACACAATGACAACATTCAACAATTTGACTCCAACAGAATAAGCACATAAAAACCCTCACATGCTGTTCAGGAGTTCCACATGAACTTGAAAAATCCATTACTGGAATCCTGAACTGGAACGATCTTAGAAGGTGGTAACTGTGCACCACTGTCCTGAAATAAATACTCAATAACCAACAGAGTTGTGACATTTTAGTAATGTGTGCATACATGTGCTGTAATACTGACTACTACTATAATGATCTCGTGTTTAAAGCTAAAGAACACCTACCTGCCTTTAGTCTTCATAAGTGTTATAGTTTTATGTGATTAGATTTATATGATCTGCTCATCATATGATGAGATATGAGTTGGTGTCTCTGGTCTCTGATGAAAATGTCAGAATGCAGATCATCCAGATCCTTGGGAAAAATGCACCTGATATTGAGTCAAAGATGGAGGAAGCTGTGAGTCTGTTGGAGTTGAGAATAATATGGCAAGAAAAGACATCCTTCTGTTGGTGAAAAAGAGATTAGGCATTAGAGAAAGGATGGATGAACCTGCCCATGTAGTAAGACTACGATATAGGTGTCATGATACATGCTGTGGCAGGCAGGATGAGGGAGCTAGCCCAACTCAAACTAAAAAGAATTAACTGAGGAAGGCATCTTTAGTTTACTGTAACAAAAACACTGGAAAACTAGGAACACAGAGACTCATACAGCAACATGAGACGATGCAACAACGGGCAGAGGAAAAGGGCTTAAATACAAAGAGGTGTAACGAGGGAAGTGGAAACACAGCTGGGACCGATCTAACATACTGAGACTGGGAGAAAGTAAAACAGAAAACACTAAACACGGCACTTGGAACTGTCAGAATAAAACAGGAAATATGTAATATGTAATATGTTGTGGTCAACTGTATCAAATGCTGCACTGAGATCCAATAAAACTAAGACTGACATTTAGGTAAGGAAGCGGAAGCTGCTCACTCTCTCCACAGCAGCGCCGTTGATGGTGATGGGGGTGTGTACTTCTCTGCACCTCCGGAAGTCCACTATCAACTCCTTTGTCTTTGCGACGTTGAGGGTGAGATGGTTGTCTCGACACCAGTGGGTCAGGGCGCTGACCTCCTCCCTGTAAGCCGTCTCATCACCATTGGTGATAAGACCCATGTCAATAGAAACTTGTACCTAGTAGTCAGTATAGTCTTTTAATAATGTAAGTTTGCATATGATAGAATACTGCATGATGACCTCTTGTATTGACTCAGACTGTTGTTTATAGTTCACTGTGACCCGGGAAGGACGAGTACCTGCTAGAGAAGAGCTTAACGAGCAGTTTCACTTCGTGCCAGGTAGAGAAGCCTCTCCTGGCGCACACACACACACACACACACACACACACACACACACACACACACACACACACACACACACACACACACACACACTCCAATGTAATAAACGACTGCACCTACTGTTGTATATAAGTAAAGACCAGTAAAGAGCAGTTTCACTTCGTGCCAGGTAGAGAAGCCTCTCCTGGCACACACACACACACACACACACACACACACACACACACACACGCACACACACACACACACACACACACACACACACACACACACACACACACACACACACACACACACACACTCCAATGTAATAAACGACTGCACCTACTGTTGTATATAAGTAAAGACCAGGTCAGTGGCAGAGCGCGAGTCCCGGAGCCCTCGCTCTCGTGCGAGTGCTCTGTGACTGCCCTTGCATGCAAGAAAACTGCTTTTCTCCTCTCTGATTCTCAGCTGAAGAACTGTCTTAGAATATATCTCTTGACAACCCACCACTGTAGTGTCGTCCGCAAACTTCACAATGATGTTGGAGCTGTTAGTGGCCGTGCAGTCGTAGGTGTAGAGTGAGTACAGGAGAGGGCTCAGTACACACCCCTGTGGAGCACTAGTGTTCAGTGTGATGGGGGATGAGGTGATGCTGCCCAGCAGGCTGGGACTACAGACAGAGAGAGGGAAAGGTTGAAGATGTGTGTGAACACTCCAGCCAGCTGAGCCGCGCATGACTTGAGGACGCGGCCGGGAATCCCGTCCAGACCAGTAGCTTTGCGCGCGTTCACCTTCCTGAAGCACTTCTGCACATCCTCCTCAGACACAGTGCGCACACTGTCCGGTCTCATGGTGTTCGCTGTGTCGAATCTAGCGTAGAATACGTTTAGATCCTCACACAGAGAGGCCATGGTCTGCGGTGTGCTGGGTTTCCCTCTAAAGTCTGCGATTGTGTTTAGTCCCTGCCACATCCTCCGAGCGTTGTCAAACTGTTGCTCCACCCTGTCCCTGTACTCACGTTTGGCTGCTTTGTCTGAATCTTTTACTGTTTTTCTGCTTTGTTCACTCCAAGTTTGACAAAACCCACAGCTCACAAACATCGCAGCGCAATCTCAGTGTATTTAGCTGCTTTTTCCCTAAACACAATCAGCTGACTGAGAGAAATGCCTGTAGTCATCCACTTTGGTCACTGTGAACGTTGAAGGAGATTTGTTCCATAGACACCTTATACTAGTGTTTCCTGCACTTAATCCAACACTGCTATGTTCTATTTAAACCCAGATTCCTTTTATAGTTTGCAGTGAAATTTGTTAAACCGTTGCTTAATGGGACAGAAGTACACGTCACTCTTTACTAACACATTGTAGATGAGTTTATTGCTGAACAGCACAGCTAACAGCCTCACACACAGTAGATTTTTAAAGTTGTTGTGTACAATGGTTTAGCCACAGAACTAACTTCCACTTTTGATAAAGATCACTCCACCTGCATATTTCTTGAGAAATGAAGCGTCTTTATTAAGCCCTTATTTATAAATGTTTACACAATAATAGACACCGTGTGCTCTGTGACATTGTAGTCTTCTATTTCTGCTTCCATTGGTTTGCATTTTAAACTCCCAGTCTCTCGGGTTGTTACAAACGGCTTATATTATTTAGAAAGAATCAGTCTTTCAGAGAAACATCAGCCGCCTCCTTTGTAACACTCTGTGACCATCCACAGCTGTCGGATTTTCACCACATCCTCCCCCACTAGATTGTCGTATGCCTCGGTGATGGCGTCAAAGACTTTTGAGGAACAACAGCAATGTTGAGCCTGTTCCAAAATTTGAATGTACATGTGTTGAAGGTGCGGGTCTTGTTGAAGTGTTAAACATATTGTTCTTTAATCTGTAGAGCAACAAAAACAAACCTTTTAATTTTCTTCAGCTTGAATCTCGGCAGGTTCAGCATGTTCTGAGGTAACTGTTTACAAGATGTTGTATCCTATCCAAAGGTTCTTTGCAGTTTTACATTGAGAAACATTATCCTTAACATATTTGACCCTCATAAAGTACTATGGCCGTCACACTGTCATTTATAATTGTTTAAATAACTCGTGTCTTAAGTCATCCCATCATACAGAAAATAAAAAAGTCGCGTGGTTCACTTTTACATCACAAAATGTTAGAAATATAAGTCGTT